TCTCTTGAATGTGATTGTACCTAAGCTAGAGTATGCAGGAGAGATATGGGAAGGTAACGAAAAGGCCGTCAAGCAGCTGGAAACGGTGCAGATGGCAGCTACCAAGAAAATACTAGGATGTTCAAGTACAACGAGCAACACTGTATTGAGAGGTCAGAATTGGGAATGTACTCTCTTAAAACAAAGAGAGACATGCAGAAGTGGAATTGACAGTACAAGGTAAGTAGAATGTCGGACGATAGACTACCAGCCATGGTTGACGAGGCAGCTTGGGGAAAAGCGACTCCAGGGAAGAAGGGAATCAGATGGGACAAGGTGGTAGAGAAGGTTTGGAAGGAGATAGGAGACGAGGAGGAGACGTTGGACACGGAAGGGTTCGGGGGGTTCAAGACGAAAGTCAAGGAGATGCTAGAGAGTAGGGAGGAGGCAACCCTTCGGAAGAAGGTACGAAGCGAAGACCACTTGGAGATATACGGGAAGTTGAAAGAAGGGATAGGGATGAAGAAGTACTTGGACGGCCCCATGGACTATGCGAAAAAGCTGAAATTGCTATTCGAGTAGGCGATCTGGACTTGCCAGAACGGAGGAAGAGGTATACCAGCCGTAGGAGAGAGGAAGAGGAGGATAGACACACATGTCCATGTGGCAAATCGGAAGCGAGTAGACCCCACATAGTTGGGGAGTGTGAGTTGTACAGGAAGGAAAGAGAGGATCTCGAGGAGGAAATGAGACAGAGAGGGTGTGACATGGACAAGTTTGGTAAATTAGACAACAGCGAAAAAACGATCGCGATAATTGGGGATAGATGGTGGGCACAAGAGGCCCTACAATAGAGGACGGGGATAAGATGTGCAAGAAATTTTTATGGAGTTTGTGGCAGAAACGTAAAGAGCTCCCAAATGTTGGTGGAGTCTCTAGTAGGTGTAGGAACGGTGCTCCGTCTCGAAAGGGACGCGTGGTCAATGGTCAAATGACTACGGCAAGCAACAAATGAGTACGCCCCCCCCCCCCTCTATCTCTGCGGGATAACCAATAAAACGACATCCAGGGCCACGCACCTCCCGTCGTCTCCCAGGGGAAGTCGGGTCGCTTCGTGGTATTTTTTTTGTCACGTGTACCAGTTAATTTTTGTATTAAGACCAACAGATTCCCAAGGATCCAAGCAACCCCCTCCCCCCCCCCCCCCTTCTCTCCTTGGGAACCACCAACGAAACCCCTTCCAGGGGCACGCGCCTCCCGCCGTCTCCAAGGGGAAACCGGCCCGCTTCGTGCACCCCAAGGTTTCGATGGCCGTCGGGGAAAAAGGTCGGGGTGGGCTCCCTCCGCCGCAACATGGTGAAACCAGAACCTGTCCCGGCTGGACTTCGACCTGGGCGTCCCGGGGGAGTCGTTCGGGCAACAGGAAAGCCTCACCCCCCGCCTGAAGCACATCTTGGAGATGTATCCCGGAGGGCCCCAGGTAAGCCCTGCAGAATCATTGGTTGTTGTGCGGTTTTCGGGGTGGGGGGGGGGTTGTAAATGTATCCATTTCGAGGGCCCCCCGTAAAGAAAGATTTCCCCGGAATCAAAAGGTACATCGGCTGTTGTGCGGTTTTGGGGGGGGGGGGGGGTTTTTAAATGTGTCCATTTGGGGGGCCCCCAGGAAAGGAAGGACCCCCCCGCCTTCAGTTGGTACTTCGGTTTTTGTGCATTTTTGGGGGGGGGGGTGGGGGTGGGGGTCGATGCGCAGAGGTGGAGGCCTGCGAGCCCCGACATCGTTCATGTAGGTTGTATGCTTTTTTGATGAAGAATCCCCCCCCTCCCGGTCCGGCCTTCACGACGAGAGGTCTTAATCGGAAACGATATCTTGACATGAGCCCGGCTAGAGTACACCGACCGACGCGCGGAGTTGTTGAATCAACCCGAGGGGGCATGCAGATAGATACCCGGCTCAGCGACGCTACCCCTTATTGCACCGCAATCGCGGCCTTGACGCAGTGCACGTAACGCCACGCACCACATGCCTCCAAGACCTGACAGTCCCGGCCAACAACAACCCGGAAGAAACATGCCATCTTGACTTCCCCCCCCCCTCGGTGCAAGGCGGGACGTGATATCGACAAGATAGATAGGATAGGAAAACCAGCTATTTTTTGGCAAAGTAGGAAAAAAGGATTGGCGATCGATGATCGGTCCTTTGGGAACAATGCTCCGTCCGCTCGAGGGTGCGTCGTCAATTGCCTTACCAGCTAAAGGCATGCAAAATATGAGCACGCCCCGCCCGCCCGCCCGCCCACCCATCCACCCACCCCATGCTCCGGTGTATTTGTGAACACGCTTGCCGGCAAAAAAAAAAACGAATCGAAAAACAGCATCTTGAGCGAGCTCGTGCAGAACGCCGATGACGCCGGAGCCCGCACGGTGCGCGTTATGCTCAACACCCGAGAGTACGGGGACGGGAGCCTCCTGAGCCCGGCCATGTCGAACTGGCAGGGCCCCAGCCTGTACGTGTACAACGACGCGGTTTTCACCGAGAGGGACTTCCAGAACCTCGCCAAGATCGGGCAGGCGAGCGCGCGTGTCCCGTGTGGTTTTTACCGCCACGGGTGGCGTGGATGTAGTCTGCTGGGTTAGGTTTTTGGGCTCTACTATGCTGCTGCTGTATATGCTGCTGCTGTAGTCTTGGTGTTTGAAATAGTGGGGCGAATGGCGAGGCCGTAAACACACAATTGTGCGAGTCTTTCTGCGTGGTGGAGGTGGGGTAGAGACCATCAGTTGTTTGCTGTTGTTCGTCCTGGAAAACTCGTACCATACATCTTGGCGGGTGATTTGATATCGCAGATATCGTTGTAGAGTCTCAGAACACCCGAGGCTCTCCTTTTTTTTTCTTTCTCTTCATTCTCCTCTCCCGCCCCTTGTTCATTGCCGTGTTTGTGACGGGAAATCGGTGCGCCGACGACAACCAAGAAAAGCACGTTGCCATTCCCTAAAGGAGGAATGAGGTTTGTCGAGTGCTTGCCGTGCTCATTCGACACCCACGCGATTCACGTCCTTGCGAGCAAAATGGAAGGGTGTCAAGCTCGACGAAAGTTGTGGTCATTGTGGCCGCATCTCCTGTACCCGCAATTTTGTACCCTTGTTGGTCGCTTTTTGTGCAGGCGTCGAAGCTCGACAAGCTGGCTGCGACCGGCCGCTTCGGCCTGGGATTCAACGCAGGTGATGGCGTCGCTTCGTCGAGAGATGCGCATACATGTAGGCCGCGTGAAAATGAGTGGTCGGCGGAGTCCACCCCATGCCTTCTCGAGTGTATATGGCATGCACACGTAGGTGTTGAATTGTGAATGCCCTGCCAAAACCAGGAAAAACATGAAACCACCAAATATATGTAGAATCTATGGCATAGGTATCTCCAGTCTGCCCAACAGCAGTAGACGCACAAAGATCACAGCAGCCGCCTGATCAACAACCCAAAGGGCTCGAGCGAGGGGTAAAAACAAACGAGCGTGGACTCGTGAGGCTTGTGGTGCCGGCATGGTGCCAACGGCTCGCTTTCTGTGCTTATCAGGTATCGTCCTGATTTGACTGTAGAGCTCTGAACGATTCTTCCATGTTAGGACGGCTGTGAAAAAACAAGATCCAATGTGACCGTACCGCCCACCTCTTCTTGTTACTCTTGTATTTTTTTTCGTTTTTCGACGGCAGTCTACCACTTTACGGACCTCCCCAGCTTCGTGTCGGGCGAGCACCTTGTCATGTTCGATCCACACACCAAGTACGTGCCGGGAGCCACGCACGTTCAGCCTGGCATCAAGGTGAGAACCGACCCGACATCTGCAGTAGGTTGTTCGTACGTATGTTTTCAGCAGTTTGTTTTTCCCGTTGGTGGAATCCTTAGGTTGGTGGTACTGTATCGTGTTCGGATGGAATGTAGGGTAGGGTGGAAGCGATGGTACTTTTCTGTTTTGAAAGCATGGTGTTAGCTCTTGAAAATTGTGCGTGTTGGGTCGGGTACGATGGAATGTAGGGCAGGGTGGAAACGTTGGTACTTTTCTGTTTTGAAAATATGGTGTCAGCTCTTAAAAATTGTGCGTGTTGGCTAAGGTGCGATTCAGACTAAAAGACCCGCCTACCTGCAACAGCAGTGGTAGTCCCTGTGTAAGGCATGCCCAGGATTTGGCCAGCCGTGTACCGAGACCCGGCACTACTAGACTAACTTGCCTATTTTTACCCGTTTCACTCGATTTCGCCAGCCTGTTACACGGGGCGATCGGCCTTGTTTCATGCGATCTTTTTCGGGGAGCACTACTACTGTAGGCCCAAGCTCGGAAGTTTTTTCAACGTCGGTAGCTACAGCTTTTTCGTACCCAATCAAGCCCCCTTTCCGTGCTGCGAACTAATACTCGCTTTGTTTCCTGTTTTTTTTGTTGTTGCAGATCCGCTTTGCCGACACCGACCTTCTGGACCAGTTCCCCGACCAGGTAACAGTCGCCTTGGTTGTCCAATACCGCACTTGTATTCCATCCCGTGGTATTTCCGTACCAAATCGTGTACTTGATAAAATATCATGCTATCCGGAGCCCATCTTCCATCAATCAGACCATCTGCGTTTCCAAATCACGCCGTACACACTACTGTACCACACCCAACGGTGGTAAGTCTGTTAGATACCGGACCATGTCAATTCGGGTCGTTCCATACCTTCCCACAGTAAATCACGGGATACAGCGATAGTCCATCCGTTTATCCTACGGCAGACCGTACCGTTCCACACCACGCCTTCCCGTACCGCACAGTGCCAGACTCGATCGACCGACCGCTGTTGGCGATGTCCATCCATTCTGCGGCTCGCAATTTCATGTTTCTGTGGCGTGCTGTCCTCCTTCTACCCACCGTAAACAGCACGCATACTGAGGGGCGACGTCATTTCATTGGTCAGGGGACCAGCGCTGTCGATTACAATTTTAAGAAACACACGCACACATGTGAATCACGCCCACGCTCTCTGCATCGTCCACGTTGCCTCTTCTTTGCTGCCCCACTTCGGTCCCCCCCCAAACCCAAATAACACATGCATACACACAAACACAGACATGTGACATACCCCTCCCACTCTCTCTCTCTCTCTACCTTTCCTGATCCCTCTTTCCCTCTCCCTTGCTGCCCCCATTGGTCCTCCCGAAAACACACGCTCACAGTTTTCTCCCTATCTGTTCTTCGGCTGCGAGCTGAAGAAACACTTCAAGGGAACGCTCTTCCGCTTCCCGCTCCGCACGGCTACGGTGGCCCGCGACAGCGAGATCTCGCACGCCAGCTACTCTCCGGGGTCCGTCATGAACCTGCTCAACCAGTTCAAGGAGCAGGCTAGCAGGTGCGAGAGCGTGGGGGGGGGGGAGATGAGGGGGCCCGCAGAAACGCATCTGCACCGGACTCCGCCCGTATATCCAGGTGGCAAGTTGTGTTTTTGTGCTGTAGGCGGGGCTGTTTGCCTCAAGTGATAGGAGCGCCTCGTCCCTCGAACTCCTCATGAGGTTTCTCAACGCGGTTTTCCTGACGGTACCCTCCCTCTGTTTTGTTCATAAGGGAAACGGGGGAAGGGGTTCCGCGTGGGGGAAGAATCGAGTACACCCCCCCCCCCCGCCCCCCCCGGTGTTTGCCATCGGGGTTGGGTTTTCGTCGCTTGGCAACGACGTTGTAAAACAAGCCGTTTGCCATCGGGGTTTGGGTTTTCGTCGCTTGGCAACGACGTTGTAAAACAAGCCCCCCACTCGGTGTTTGCCATCGGGATTGGGTTTTCGTCGCTTGGCAACGACGTTGTAATACAGGCCGATTCACTTCGTGAACTCGGCAACCAGGTTACCGTTTGTTTTTTTTTTTACCTCGTTTTTTTTTTGGCGGTAACCATAATGGTGGTCGAGTAGATCATGTTGTGCGGGGTCGAGAAACCTCACTCCGCGCAACGGGGGATGATCGCACCACGCTTGTGTTAAAATGGTCAAGCTTCCTCGAGGCAGTTACACAGTGCTTACAACTGTCTCTGGAAGTGAAAGCACCAGAAAATAAATTAAGTCATACGTAGCTGTCATCCGTACGCAAGGAAGTAAGCACAAGATGCCGAACACCCTTAGCAGGATGCAGCTCACCCTTCATGCGACTCGCCAAATACCTCACGGCGCTTCGCGCTTGGTGATGTGAGAGCCTGGTCCGGTGAGAACCCGGCGTGCTCCGTCCCGGCTTTGTAGGGATGCGAGGTCAATGGTCAAACGACTACGGCATGCACGACTATGAGTATGAGTACACCCCCCCCCCCCCCTGCCTCACTCTCTCTCTTGTACCACGATGTTTCGACGAAAAACACACACTCCTCTCGTCTGCCTCCACAAGCACCTACCAAAGGCACACGCACACGCACGATAACTGTTGTATGCTTGGGAGAGGTGAGGGGGTGTGGTTAAGCGAACATGTCCTTTGATGTCACTGCTGCCGTCATTTGGCCCATGCTCATACGGGAAGAATAAAACGATCTCCTCCTCCTCCTCCTCCTCCTCCTCCTCCTGTTGCCCCCGACCCCAGGTACCTTCTCTTCCTGCGCCACGTGGAGCGCATCGAGATGTACACCGTCGGCGACGGTGTCGACAACAAGACGCCCGTCCTGCAGTACAGCGTCGAGGTCACCAAGCGGGACCCCCCCACCGGGTGGGCCGCGGTGCCGACCTTCGTCACGGGGCCTCCCCGGCGCCCCCTCTCCAAGGAGGCGTTCTACTCCAAGCTGGGGCAGACCCCGGACGCGGTCCTCCCGAAGGTGGAACAGATGGTGACGATCACGTTCCGGGAGGAGGGGGCCCGCAGAAGGGGGAAGGGCGGGGGGTCCTCCTCCTCCCGGCGGCAGGCGGTGGAGATCTCGGAGGGGGAGACCACCAGCGACGACGACGACGTGGTGGTGGACATCGACGGCGGCGGCGGCGACGAGGATCTGAGAGGTCTGACCTCGGCGACCGGCGGCGGCGGCGGCGGCGATGGTGGTGGTGGGGAGGGCAAGGGCGGCGCTGGGGCGCTTGTTGTCGGCGGGGCGGGGGGGAAGGAGGGGCCGACGTCGATCGTGGACGTGTTCCTCGTTTGCGCGGCCATCGGGGGCGGCAACGCGAAGAAGATGGCGTGCCTGCCGGAGCACAGGCACATGAAACTTATTCCGTGGGGAGGGGTGAGTTTTGCAGGAGGAGGTGTTAACGCAGGCAGAGTTTTGTAGGGGGAACTGTTTGCGCAGTCAAAGAGGGTGTCAAAAGTGTTGTACGAAAGTGCATCGAAACATCCTTGAGGCGCCAAATGAGGAGGAGCACCGTTTCGGCGTTGGCACCACCAAACATCGGTCCAAGAGGGTGTGATACAACACTATGCATACACGCCATCAATTTTTTTTGTTGTTGTTGTCTGCACATTAAAAAGCCTTCCGATCTCTCTACCCAGTACCTCCCTCTGTCTGTACTGATCTAACACGTGACGCAGTCGATTCCCGTGGTTACAGGTTAACTTTCCCTGAAATAGGACTGTATACTCAAACAATGGACCCGAAGGGTCCGCAAGCAAATTTCAATTCCGTGGTGTAGTGCTACGTTTTTTCGCCTATGCAGCGACACAACTGCTGCCGCGCTTGCTTGCACTCACGATGGCAATGAAAGCGACCTATTGCTGCCAGGTATGCGTCTACAACATCGTGTCGAAACGCAAATCAACCGACACACGAGAAATGGTGTTACACACTTTTAACGTACCCCTCCTCCTCTTCGTGTGGGGACGCACACTTGTGTGGGTTCTATTTTTTGTCCTTTTTTTTGTTTTGTTTTTCCTTGTTGTTGCAGGTGGCGGCACACATCAGTCGGAACTCGCACCCACCCCCTCCCTTCGAAGGCCACGCCTTCTGCTTCCTACCGCTGCCGGTTAACACGCTGCTCCCCGTGCATGTGAACGGCTTTTTCGAGCTGTCTTCCAACAGGTGCGAGTGTGTTTTTTTTTGCGGTGAAATAAGGGATATGACGGGTGGGCCACGAACCAAACACAAATTGCTTTGACGTTGACACGTGCGTCTCGATGGTGGCGGTCAATCAATTCACAGTTTATAGTTGTGTTGGTCTTGGTAACTTGGCTGTTCGAGTTAAACCTAGGCACAACACATTTGTAGCTTTGGTAGCGGCGACGCACGGCGTCTAAGGGGATTAAGGAAAAATAAATACACGCACAGAAAGACTACCCATGAAGGGGATGGCAGAGTAAGTAGCCGACAGAGAGATGGCCTGTGTCGGAGTGTGTTTGGTGTTGACATTGTTACGCACGACTTAGACAGCGTGTACGAGGTGAGTTAACTCCTCTTCGTTGTTCATTGGCTCGTGCTTTTGGTGCAGTACGTGCGTAGACCCGCCGACAGCGGTCGCGCTCTTGCCTTTCGTGCGTGGTCGTGTAGTCGTGTGTTGCACGTAAGGCTCGAGCAGCGTTCTCCTCTCGAGCAACGTTCTCTCCTCCGACGAAATCATCTTCATGCCCAACAACAGCAATTGGTAACCCCCCCCCCCCCAACCCCCCCATATTTTGTATGTCTTTATCTTTTCCAC